AAAATACGTAATAAAACTGGACACTAATAAAAAAAAGAATAATAGATATTACTAAAAATAAGAATTATGTTATAAGTAAAACCCAATTTCCAGTACAACCATGTGCAAAAAGAACAATACATAGAGCACAAGGATCAACAGTTATACAATTAGGATATGACCCATAAAAAACAAAATATCCAAGACAAGCATATACAGGGTTATCAAGAGCACAAACACTAAAAGGTATACATTTATATAGACCAATTGAACATAAACATATTAAAATCAATAAAGATGCAACTAAAGAAATAATAAGAATGACAAAAGAATCACCATAGCATGATTTAATAGATTTACAAGAAGAAAAATAGCTAACCAAACAATTATACAAGTTCTAAACACAATATCTATTACTGCACATCAAGAAGATATAAAGAGTGATTCACAATTATTAACATCAAATATAATATGTATGCAAGAAGTAAGAACACCAAAACATGAGATTATATATTTTAATAAATATAAATCATATATCACATATAGCAATATTGTATACAAATGACTATAAATCAGAAATAGTAGAGCATTTAAAAACAAAAACAATAGCAATGTCATATACATCACTAGAAGAAATTTTTTTTACAGATAATAAATTTACATAGAAAATCTGGAACAAATATACAAATATTCATAAAACAACTGCAAAAATATATACAGAAAATAGATAATAAAAAACCAGTAATAATTACAGGAGATTTCAATATTGACTATTAAAAAGAAGAAGCAAAACCACTTCAAACAATAATGGAGAAAGAAGGATACATACAAATAATAAAACACAATACATGTAATAATAAACTAATAGATCATATATGGATAAAAGATATAGTATATAGCAGGAATAGCACCTGTATATTGGACAGATCATAACAAATTGTATATCATAATAAAAAATATTTAAAAGAAAAAGCAAACCAAGCGTTACTGCAATGCAATGCACAGCAATTTTATTTATATATTGGTAAATATATAAAGTTACCATTTTTGTGAAAATTTTTAGTGAGATTCCCTAGAATATTTCATATTTAAGGCAGAGGTAAAATCCCTCTTTATCCTCTACACTGCTCTTATGGAACTTATATTTATGAGTGAATGTTAATGATGTCATTTTAGGTATTATAATTTATTAGTGTATGTTGTGATTGGTATCTATGCATTGATCTTATGCTTCTAGTTAGGCACTTTTGACCTTTTAATATATAATATTAATATAGATTATATCAAATCATAATTTACAATATTTACATTAACTTACATTACTCGAGTGTGCATTCTTAGTCAATAGTGTTGCATTAAATATCTACTTAAGCTAGTTGAGAAACTAATTCATGTGCACATAGACCAAAGAAAAAAATTATTTGACAATTAGTTGACTTGCACTTACTAGTGTTCCTTACAATATTGAGTCTAGTACCTCAATCAATATCACTATATGATAGTTTATTATGGAATCATAACACTTTAGCTATCTTTTCTTTAGTTTATTGATTTTGAAATCCTTTTCTATGATTTTCATGAGTGAGTGATATTATGTCTTAAATATTGTGTGTATAGTGGAAACATGTTTAAACTTCAAAACTTTTATCTTCCATTCCTCAATACTGTAATAAGTGAGGTGGGTTTGATATTTGCACATGGCCCAAATTCTATTAATGAGGAAGATTCTTAGGGACACTAGATAATAGCCAAAGTAATTTCATGGAGTAGATAATAACAACAGTGATTGTTGATGAGCTTTGCCATCAATTCCCAAGTCTTCTTCAACAACTTGAGGTTTTAGCAAATTTTCTTGGTGGAGAGGCTTCATCTACAGCTTTTGACATGGCTCCTATCCCCATCACTAACACCACATTACAATGAACCCCCTCACATAAATGTGAAGGCTTTTATAAAATCAAACTTGGCAACCAACATCTTTATCTTGACAGTGGCTTAGAAACATATTATAGAGTACTTAAAGGTCATTAAATTTTTTGCTGATTACATAATAGCTCCTATAGATATGATGTTCTTGTCCTGAGTCATAGCCATGGGTCCATTGTTGACTTTCTTAATATGGACTATAATTCCTTGGGATCATCCAGTTTATCATCCTTAGTCAGCCATGGCTAGACACAACTCTATGCTTCTTTGACTTTGAGCATAACTAGATGCAAATTGGATGAAGTAATGGGCAAGTGACAATCTTCAGTACCAAAGGATATACTCTTGCATCACATGAAGTGTTATAGTTGATACTAACCTAATCAAAATCTTCATCTTGGCCAACAAGTCTTAGCAATGATACGAAGTTGGAGTTCAAGATGTTACAATGCAACATAATTAGACTTTTCCATCCCATTTAGATAGTCTCACTTTTAGACTCTTGCTCTATTCACTATAACCAGTCACACTTGCTTGGGCTTCAAGAAATGTGAGATCTAGTCAAGATTCTATATATTTTGCAAATGCCTAAGGAGGAAGAAAGCAAAACTATAATGGCATCAAATTAGGGTGAGACATAGGACAACATCTTACAAACTCCCTTGATGTAGTTAAAGGTGTTGGACATAGTTCATCTAAGCTTTCACTTGCCATCCTTTATGTTGACATGATCAACCTCTTAAGCACATGGAAAATCAGAATTCCATAGAGGTGCAACCATGGCCACTAGATAAGTTCCATACTCAAGGATTATAAGTATTTATATTATTAATGAAGTATGAGCTTGTGGAGTGAGACTTTTTTTTTCTCTTGGAGCTTATACCCCCTATATTGGATTCATCTTATCTTTACAAAAACTTTTCCAAGGCACATATCCTTTATTATATACTCTTGCTATAATAAATATAAACATAGCAGCAATAATTTAGAACTTGTTTTTAGCCATGACACCTTCTCTAGACATTCTGAAAGCCTTTCTCAAGATCCACAATACTCATATACAACAACTAATAGTGATGGGTTTTGCAATAATTTGACTTTCTTCTCCAACCTCTTCAACATTTAAAGGTCACACTAACTCATTAGAGCTATAGGATTTCAATCGAAACATAACTCATAGTGATTGTGGCATCTTCTATAGATAATATGTATAAAATGTAAGCAATAAAAGAAATGACTTAAGAAACAATCTATAAAAGTTTAAATATAGAGGGAAAAGGCCCATGAATAAAAGTGCACATGTTTTTTTAATCGATTGAAGGTTTTAGAATACTTAGGGCTAGGTTTGAGTACTAGGTTATATAGAATTCATTATAATGCATTTTATCTTTCTCTTTTAAACCAACTGGAAAAAAAGTAATTGTTTGATAAAAAATTTTATCTCACTATATCTGGCATCAAGGTAAAGTTTTAATTATTCCAAGGATCTATGGTAATAATATATGCAAATTTCATCCCCCTCACACACATTAGAAATGTCAATATTCTCATTGACTGTTGATTTATTAAACCAAAAGGGAATTAACACCTTCATTTTCACACTAAATTTACAATCTTTCTATTATATAATTCTAAATGAAGAAACTAGTGATCCACTTGTACTACAGTTCTATAGTGGATCCCTTTATCTGTGTTTATAGATGCTTTATAAGATGAAAAATGTATTTATAAATGCCTACGTGTATGATTTCAAATTTAAGAGTAGGAATATACCTTATTCAAGAGTATATTATATTTTAAGTAGCTACTAACCAATTAAAATCAAACCACATCTTTTACCCTATAGTGATTTTCAAGGGCAAGACAGGGAATGAAATTTTCCACTGAATGATGGGATAAAGGTAAATATGTAGCATGGAATAACTCCAAAGTATTTAACCAAAAAGTAAAGAGACAACATAGAGTGATATTGGAACAATTCTAAAGTATATAACATCTTAATACCATGTGAGCCAAATGGAGTCTAATGTTAGTTCAACATATTGTTCTAATGAGAGAATATAAATACTCCACTAGCTAGTATGGTATGGAACTTAAGTTTAGAACAATGCTTAACAAGGAGCTAAACTATGTCTCAAGTTAGTCAACCATACTTGATTTACATACCCAACACTAACAAGTACAAGCTACCATGTGAGTTTTTCATCATAAGCCGAGTATGCTTAATAAGAAACATTTAAGAGTTTCTATTTTATGTTTATTTGGTACAAATACACATATGATAACCCATTTCTCAATTAACTTAGGCAAGGGCATTTGCTAATATCAACAACCAAGGCTGCTTCAAGTGTTCTCTAAGCAATTGGTATTGATAATGATGCCAACACCAGCACCACTAAAATGGCTATCCCTTCCATGCTGCCACATCTAAACCATCATTCAGAAAGCTCAAAAGGTGATGCCACCACTTCAACTACATTGCAAAAAATTTAGCAATGTAGGCAAAGTAGTGCTTACATTTTAAATATGCTTAGTTACAAACATTTCTAACTAAATTTTATAGAGAATCAAACATTAACCTCACTTACCTAATATGAGGTCCAGAAACAACAGCCAGGCCCAAATTGGCATGCAAAACATGACTCTTTGCAAATGCCTAGTCGTCAAATGAGGAGGATTTTAATGAATAACTTCTACTATAGATGTGGACCAAGTCTCAGATCCATGATCATGGTTAATTCTTTCTCACTTCTGGCAGTGACAGTGTTGACGTGCTTTTCTAAAATCAGGCCAACGTTGTGCTTTGGCTCATTATCGGTTTGGAGAACTTTGATTTCTCATCCTTTTCTATTCAATTTAACGACGAGTAAATCACAACCGTTAGATTTGGTTCATTCCCGCCACTCGAGAGTGTAGGGTTTTTGGGCATGGCGGCTCTGTGTAGTCCGCAGCGGAAGGACACGCTGGAGAGCGATGGCGATGGCGGCGCTGGTATCACCTTCTCTAAGTTCAAGTATAGGTTCCAGAATTTGCTCACGGAGGTCCGGGCGCTCAAAGTAAGGCTAGCACGTCTGCTCCTCTTCTCAGTTTGTCGATCCTTTCGCAGTCCAAGGAATGCTCAGCTCGAATGGAGGCGGAGGTTTCGGTTCAGGCAAGTTCTTGGATAGGATTTCTTTCTTTCCAAATCTTTCTTCCTTGTTTGTTTGCCAGAAGCTGAGATCAAAGGAGGCCGATCAAGACAAAGAAAAGGCATCGCTGCAAGCCCAAATCACGGAAGCTACCGAAGCTCGGCAGAAGCTGGAAAATGCCGTGAGTGGTTTTCTTTTTTTTTTTTCGCTAGCTGGTGAGGGCTTGCTGCTTTTTTTTTCTTTTGACAGATTAAGATTATGGAGCTTGAAATGTCTGCCATGGAGAAAAATGTGGCAAGCTCGAAGATGCAATTGAAGGCTGTTCTAGATTCCAGAAACACAGTGATGGAGGAACTTAAGGTAGAAAATCTCTAATCTTTTCAAACTTTCACGTTACGTTTTTTCGCAGATAGCCAATTACGAGCTGGAACAGAAGCTAAAGAATACTTCCAGCCATTTATCGGTCGCCATGGAAAAGCTAAGCAGGAACACGATGCTGTTTGAGGCTGTAGAACAAGAAGCCTCGTCTGTGAAGAGAACCTTAGATGAAACCCGTCAAATCGTGGCTTCCAGAGCAGATATGGGTAATTTTGTAGTTCGTTTTCATCTTGTTTACGAGAATGTCTTGCAGTTGCCGAGCTTCAGCAACAGGTGGCATGGCTGGTCGATATCGAGCAAAAGCTCCTTGGTAAGTTTAAGCTTTTTTTTGTGCGTTCTCGGTTGTGACTTTGACATCTCAGATAAAGCACGATTACTGGAGTGCGAGCTACGAAACAAAAACGTTTCATGCTCTAAAAAGGAAAAGGAAATCATCGCGTTAAGACATATGCTCGATACAAGAAACGACTCGAGCATCCAAGAGAAGCTAACCATAATATCCGCATGTACTGGTTATCCAGATCAAATTTCCTTGACGAACGAACATCCAGAAATCGTCGGAAGCGAAAGACCGCACTATCTCGGTCCTTACTATGGATAAACAGGTTTGTTTTATTAGTCCATTCCTTGAGGAGCTTGAGCTTGCTTTTTTATTTTGTTTGGCAGGGTTTAATTGGCGAGATAGAAAGCCTGAAGGCTGTTGTGAAAAGATTTCAAGAAGCTGCGGCTGAGCAAGATTCGTCTTCAAAAATATTACGTGAGAAAGTTCTCGATTACCAACACTTGCTCAGAGAGAAAAGTAAAATGGTATGAGAGTGCTACTTTGAAGATTGAGTTTTAACGATTGTTTAGTGTGAAGGGCACTTGCCAAGCTCACAAGAACTTAGACAGGGAGATCTGGATCTTGAAGAGAATCACGAGGCAGCAGCAGAAGCACAAATTCAAGACAAATCACCAGCGCGTGTTGAAGGCACGTATCGATCTATTTAGTATGTTGCTCTCAACATTGACGTTTCTGTGCAGAAATCAAAGAGCCAATCGTCGTTGGTTGTAGCTCAGATAAAGAAGACGCTACTCTCACCAATGGTAAGACTTTATTTTTATCAATGCCTTTCCAAACCCATGATCCTGCAGATGTTGGCACCCGTGAAGAACATCTTCAGCAATGTGCAGAGAAAGAAGAAGGTGGATTAACGTCATGCACTTGCGGCCGGCCGCCTGATTCTTCTATGGTAACGCCTTTGATCGCATGCTGTATAAATGCTTCACAGTTTTCTATGTTTTTTTTTATCTTCAGCTGGAGTGCGTGAGCTGCAATAACCAATTCCATGCCGCATATGTTTCATGGGAAGAATCATCGTCAGGTATGAATGATGGCTAAGCTTGTCGTATGTCTCCTTACGAGAATCACTGCAGCGTACACGTGTACGAGTTGCCAAAATAGTCCAGTAAAGAAGATGAAGCTATCCGGCATTGAAAGCCAGCCGCTGTGAAACACTTTGTCTCCCAAGGTAGGCCTAAGCCTCGTACAATTTTTCTTTTTTTCTTTTGGTTGGGTTCACAGATTTATCGCTTTTCGTAGACATCTTTGCCCACGTGTCCTCCTCTGCAATGGAAATGCAATGCAGTGAAGCACAGAAGCAAGGAAGAACAACTTGTAAGCAAAAACATTTGTTCAAAAGGTGGGAGCTGAGCTGCGTTTTCTTGAAATTTTCGTTTTAATCGATGGTTTCCGCTCGAAGTTGTTATGTTCTGGGTTAATTCCCAGCTCTGGATGGTGGTCCTCCATTAGGATGCCGTCTCATCATCTGAGCTCCTCTCGTGGTCCTGCCGCTAATCATCCAGCCTTTTCTTTGTCAGCGGTCCCAAGAATTACGAAGAATGTGACAAGCACTCTTTTCTGGATCGCAGTTGGCATCATTGCAAGGTAGTAATCATTTTTTTCTAGTCAGCTAGTGGCTCTCACTGGGAACTTGGTTTCTCGCAGTAGCAGGAAAGAATCATATGGATTCTCAAGCCAGGGATATGAAGAGCAGCAGCTCAGGATCACTTCTGGACGACAGTGTGTGGTCGCAGCTCCCCGAAGACATGACTCGCATAATTCTCGCGAGGCTACCACTTCCGAATTTACTCCAGGTTCGTACCGTCTGCAAGAAGTGGGAAGCTACAATTCGATCACCTCCTTTCCTCAAGCTGTGCTCGGATCTTCCGTCCCGCGCACCGTGGTACTTGGGATTCCACGGCTTCAGGCACGAGCAGGGGTGGGCTTTCGATCCTAGCTCCAGCAGATGGTACACTCTCGACTTTACTTTCCTTCCACCTGGGCGCTGCGCTGCTGCCGCTGGAGGCTTGCTGTGCTTCTGCCAGGACAGCGTCCAGGCCAACTCTCTCTACGTTTGCAACCCGATCACCAAGGTGTGGAGAGCTCTTCCTCGCTTCCCAGGCAGCATCAAACAGGTGGCTATGCGTGTCGACAAGGCCGAGGATACGTACCTGGTGATAGCCTTCGTCCAGGACGACGTGAAGTGTGGAGCTCTCTTGTACCGCAAAGGCGACGATTCCTGGCGAGAAGCAGCAGCTATGGCTTCTCACCCGCAGCTACTAAACATCGTCGATGCGGCCTTCTGCGGGGGTGTTCTCTACTGCCTCAACAAGTGCGTGACTCGCGAATGGCAGTATATCCAGTGCTACCACTTCGAACAGGATGAGTGGAGCGACCTTGGTATTCCCATGCCGAGCGCGTTCCGAGGCCAGGATCTCGTGCAAATGCCTTACCTGGTTGATCATGGAGGAAAGCTGCTCCTGGTGGAGAAGATCATTTCAAGCTTCGCAGACAACTCCACCACCTTGGCTGCTGCCGCTGCTCCAAGTCTCGTGGACAAGGCTTTAAAGCCGGCTATTAAAGCGAGCGTCGGGATTCACGAGTTGGATCTGGGAGCTCGAGAGTGGAAGAATGTGGCCGGGACTCTGGAGCATACGACTCTGTTCGTGGGATCCTTCACGTCCAGGGCGGTCTACTGCACAGGTAGTCAGAAGCTGGTTTATTTCACTAACCACGGCTCTGTAGTGAGCGTGTACGACGCCATTCAAGACTCCTGGCACCGGCTTCCAGAGTTCCCCCGCCAGAGAATGATGTCGAACTGGATTTTCGGGAAGCCCAAGCGGAACCTCGGCGTCGTGATCCCGCTCAAGGGGCTCTGGTTTGACCCTCGGCTGGATTCTACCGTATAGCCCTTCTCGACTTGTAAGTCTTCCATGGCTCTCATGGGCTTTATGATGTTTAACGTGTGGTTTCGTCAGGGAAAGTCTTCCACATCGACTGGTATGTTTAGACTATTCCTTTCGAAGTTCTATAGAAGTTTCATTGTTTCCATATTCGAGCTCCAAACTATACAAAGAAAAGCCAGTTTAGACTATTCCTTTCGAAGTTCTTTAGTTCTCATGAAGTTTCATTGTTTCTTTCAGGAAACCCTGGTATATATTCGAGCTCGAAACTATAGAAACGAAGAAAAGCCGGCTAGAGGATCTTGTTTCAACTCGGCACAGCCATCGCATTGGCCGAAAGCAGGATGACGCAGATAAGATAAAGAATCAGCGCACGCTGGGATCTCGCTCGAAGTTGACGCGATTCCGATGACAATCAGACACACACTGCACAGAAACCAGACGAAGAAAAGAATGACAAGCACCGACGCTGCGCTTCTTTTCCATTTTTCTTTCGTGGGATGGATGGATCGCTCAATCAGCAGCAGGGGCAGGACCACCGAAATCAACAAAGCGCACACCACCAACCAGGCCTCGCTTTCTTCCCACAGGACCCCAAAATCTTCTTTTTCTCTCGTGTAAGTGTTCTTTGTCGTCCATTCTATCATTTAAAAACTTTGGTCCTTGCAGAACAGTGACGGTGGCGGTGCTGTTGCGACGGTGCTCGTTCCAGAATAGCGATCGATCAAAAAACTAAGCGAAGAAAACACCAGATGAATCAAGACAAGCCGCAAGCTTTCAAGCCACGAGCTTTCAATGGTAAAGTGGAAGAGAGAATCCAGTTTTAACAGCGAGCGAGGGAGCGAGGGAGCGAGGCAGCGAGAGGGAGCGAGCACCCTCCAAATGTGAAGCAGACAGGTATCCAGCCATGAAAGCTTTAAATTCCTTGCCTATGGTATTGACCAGCTTTTTTGTTTTCCTTCCAGGACGAAAGAATCTCACAAACAAAAGGGTCCCAGATAGCTGTACCAACAAAGCAAGCAAGAGACGCTTGGATGGAAGTAAGCTTTCTCTTTTATTTCTCTCTCGCGCTTTGCCTGTAAAGTACATACTTAGAACGAATGCCAGGGAGAAAAACTAAGCGCCGAGCGAAGAACAAGGATGAAGACGACTAAAAAATCGTTTCTTTTCCATCGTTTGGGAGAGAGAGACTAAACACGAGAGAGGATGATAGAACGCACTGCCGTGATCATTCCAATCACTTGGGCGCTCCAACAAAAGCGGAGCACTCCAGAGTGGCAGTAGCAGCAGCAGCAGCAGCAACACTACAAGACAGGCACGCCTACTAGAAAGTGAAAAAAAAAAAACCACAGAGAGAGAGAGAGAGAGAGAGAGAAAGAAGACGTACACGAGCTTGGACGAGAAAATCCATGGCGGTCTCCGTGAATCCCGACTGCTACGCCTCCACACCCCAGTCTCTTCCCAGTCCATTCGTGAAAGCCGCCAAGCTTCTCACATGCCCTGCATGGCTGCCTTGAAAGTTCCAAGCTGTGTTCTTCCTAAACTCGACTCGCTGCCAAGCCAGCCAAGAGATCGCTGCTCCATCGCCACTGCTTCACTGCCTCACTGCCTCGTCGATAAGTACCGCTTGATCGTCCCTGTTCCTTTTCCCGAGAAGAGGAGGAGAAGAAAAGCTTCTTAATCCTTCCTTCTCCTGTCCAAGCCCAGAGATCTTCCAGTTTATTTAGTGCCTGGCTTTCTCGCTTTCCCTGTCCACTTTCCGGAAGATAATCCAACCTCCCACCACCCTGTCTGCTGCTGCTGCTCCTCCTGCTTGTCGACCGTCCAAATCACAAGTCGCCACCCATGTTTGACGCGTCTCCTATATAATCTTTCCCACCACCTGTATCCTAGCCTTTCTCCTCCCATTTATTTACATGCCTCCAGCATGACCCGACCGAGGCGACGCTCGCAGCTGCGTGTAGAAGAAGAGTTTTTTCCACCCATCCATCCCCGTATGATCAATCACATTACTGTAAGATCGACCTTCTGCTACTCCTGGACGTAAAAGAGACACCACCACCATCGTCAGTGGCCGGAGGAACACGATCACCTGGCGTCCGAGGACGTGAACGAGTCCGCGAAGCCGACGGGCCTGGTCGGGAGGCTGGCCTGGCTATCGTCCAAGTTGGAGTCGTCCGAGGCCTGCCACTGCTTGAGCGCTTGCGGGAGCGTCACGTTGAGATCGATCCCTTTGGTCTCCTCCCCGTCCGACGCCGTCGGCTTCCACTGCTCCACCAGCGGCGCCAGCACGCTCACCGCATGCCCCATGTCCGGCCGGTTGTACGGCTCCCTCGCCGTGCAGTGCTTGGCGAGCTCGGCCACCGTGTAAATGCCCTCCACTTTGTCCTCGGTGCCTTCTAGCAGCGCTGTATCTATCATCCTCGCGAAGGATTCTCTGCCCTGGTGCGTACGCCGGAACCACGTCACAAGGTGCATGTTCTCCTCGGATTGGCTCTCGTCCAGCGCTCGCCGCCCCGTGATCAGCTCCATGAGGACAACTCCAAAGCTGAACACGTCCGCCTTGGTTGTAACTCTCCCCGTCACTGTCAAACACACACACCACCATAAGTCTTCCAGGAAACATGCGAACCAGAGAAAAGGAGGAAGAAAAAAAAAAACTCATTTACCTGCGTACTCTGGAGCCAAGTACCCAAACGTGCCCGCCAGCCTTGTCTCGATCGAGTATTTGCCTTCGGGAGCAAGCTTCACCAGTCCAAAGTCTGACACCTTGGCACGATAATCATCGTCGAGCAAGATATTGGACGGCTTCAGGTCCCTGTGGATGAAGCTCATGTGTGCCAGCTCGTGCAAATACTCCATCCCCCTCGCCACGTCCAGCGCTATCACCAGCCTCCTCTTCCAGTCCAGCGGTTTAGCTCCCCGCTCAAACAGGTGCTGCGCCAGCGTCCCGTTCGGCAAGTACTCGTACACCAGCAGCTTCTCATTCCCCTCGATGCAGTAGCCGAGCAGCGCCACCAAATGCCGGTGCCTCACTTTGGTCAGCACCGCGATCTCCGCGTGGAACTCGCTCAGCCCCTTGCTGCTCACCACCGTGGAGGCCTCCATCCTCTTCACCGCGATGCTGGTGCCATCGTCCAGCACCCCCTTGTAAACAACACCGAACCCACCACGGCCGAGGATCGTGTCCCGGCTGAAGTTCTTCGTGGCGTCACGTAGGACTTGGATGGAGATCACTAGATTTCCTGCCTCCACTACATGAACGTCACCACTGGGCCCGCTGTGGTTTCCTCCACCATTCGGCTCCGCTGTCCTTGTGACACTGACCTTCACCATATCTGGATCAGAATTGGAGTTCCGGGGATGAACCAGCATCCCACTACTGGAGCTCCTCGAGGCCTGATGCTTCCCCTTGTGTCGACAGCAGAGGAAGAATATAAAAACTCCCGCCACCAGCGCCAGCGACACGGCCCCAGCAATAGGAACAGCCACCGCCACTATGGGGAACTTGGAAGATGCTTGAGGGCTGTTAGTGCGATTCCCACTGTCATCTTGCGTACCCGGAGGTGGAGGCGTTCCAGGCGGTGATGGTGGCGATGGTGTTGTGGCCGGTGCCGATCCAGCCGGAGCAGCTGGAGCAGCTGGAGACGAGGATGGAGGAACTGGAGCCGATCCAGGAGGACTGTTGAGCAGAGGATTCCCATCCACGAGCACTGTCACCCCGGAGAACTTCACCATCGGGCCGGACAAGCTGTTGTTCCTCAAATCCAGCGTCTTCAAAGACTTCATCGTTGCAAACTCCGGAGGGATGGAACCCGAGAGATTGTTGTTGCTGAGCATCACAAACCTGAGATCCGCCAGCCCCGCCACCGCGGGAGACAGCGTCCCAGCGAGCTGGTTCCTCTCGAGCTTCAACCCGATCACCGCAGTCCCATCGCACACCACCCAGGTCACGGCGCAGGGATCCGTCCCCGACCAGTCCGCGATGATCGAGTCTGGAAAACCAATGCCACCTAGAAATCCCAGCAGCGCGGTCACCTCGGCACTACACGCCTTCCCAGCCTCGCTCTGGCAGAACTTGTTGCCACCGAAACCATCCGTGTTGGTGGCCCTGAGCAGTGGGATCGGCCCCATGAGATTGTTGTTGGTCACGCTGAAATGCGAGAGTGCCAGCGCTGTGAAATTCGGCACCACCCCCTTGAGCTTGTTGTCGTTGAGCCGGAGATCCGCCATAGCCACCGCGTTGCTCAGACCCACCGGGATCGTCCCAGTGAATTGGTTCCCTTGTAGCCACAGCTGCGCGAGGCTCGTCATCCCTCCAACCACGTCGATCGATCCGCCCAGCGCCATGTTGTTCACTTCCAGCTGCGTCATCGCCGAGTCCTTGAAGCTCGCGGGAAGCCCACCGGTGAGGGAGTTATACGCGAGATTGAGGACCTTGAGGCTGGCCATGGTGCCCAGGAACTCCGGGATCGGCCCGCCCAGGCTGGTGTTCGTCAGCGACAGATTGACGAGCTTGGTGGAGAATTGGACGTCGTCGGGGAGCTGCCATCCCGCGGTGCCATTGAGATTGTTGTGATCGAGGTAGATGACCATGAGGCTGTCGAGGCCGCGGAAGAAATCTCCTGGGATGGTCGCGAAGTTGTTGCTGTTGAGGTAGACCTTGCGGAGATTCTTGAGGCCGCTGAGGCTGGGCAGCGCGCCGTGGAATCCATTGAACTGGAGGCCGAGGTACTCGAGATTGGCGAGCTTGTTGAGATTTCCGGGGAGAGTCCCGACCAGCCCCAGGGATTCCACCGCAATTCCGATGATAGACTGGCCCCGGCATTGGATGTGCTTCCACGAGCACGGATCGCCGCTCCCCCAGCCGAGCAATGCCCCGTTGGTCAATCCCTGGATCATCGCATCAAGAACCGCCCTCTCGGTCGGATCGACAGCCGCGGCGGCACCGGCGATGATCACGACGCCAAGAACGATCCATCGGCCGATCCCGATGCTCATGGCTGTGAGAATTCCCAGCGCCGGCGATCCGCGAGGCGAGGAGCCCGCATTCTTGCCCCTCATCCAAGAATCGAGCAGAACCTGGACGAGCCGCGCGCACAGATCTTGGTGCCCCGGCAGCGCCACACCCGAGCCCTGGCGCCGCGCATCTCCCGTGGATCGCAGCTCCGGATTCTCATGCCCTAGCTTCCCTTCCAATTTTTCTTCCTCCCAAAAAGAATGGCCTGTCCCAGGACAAATTTCTTTCGCCTGGAACCCTCTGTTTGGCTCGGTTTGAGCAAACAGAGCATAAAAGAAGATTCCGTCACCAGCTTCGGTGGCTTGCCGAGCCTGGGACGTGCCGCCACGTCGCCCAGGCCTGGACCACGCCTTGTAACCTTCGGTCGATTAAAACGTTGATATGGTTTCACTCGATAATGATCGTCCCTCTTGCGAATAAAATGGCATCATTCATTTTTGTTGTCCAACGAACTTAACGACGAAACAAACTTGGCGAGACTTTGTCACTCTGATTTGATCAATCCTTGGCTTTTAACTTTAAGCGTCCCTGGATTTGAGAAACAAAAGAAATCACTCGAATCACTGTTGCTAGACTTGACACAAAGAGGTAGACAAAAAGGAAGAACTGCAATAGCCTACCTCTACCACTTTGGTTTGAAATCATGGATCGCCCAACCCAGAGATTCGTGGCCAGCCAAAAACTGTTTCTTCAAGCAAAAGCTGCGAGACTATCTTCAATGTTTAAGATCCATTTCTTTCCTGCGCAGAGAACCACTAGTAAGATTTTTCTCTTTTGCTTGCTTCTTCCATACTTTTTTCATACCCCCAATGCCGTGAAAACTCTTCCTTCGTCACCAGGCATTAAAACTCGCGCTGGATGGCTCGCTGGCTGCGGCTTTTTATCTTCACTCCACTCCACAAGTAAGAAACTTTTCTCGTGGAGAGGAATCGATAGCTATGCGACGAGAAGAACTGTCTAGCCTGCAAGGACGCACAATGAGTCATCGTAAGGCACCAACGGAGGAGCGGCAGCACTGTACCAGATGCTAGAAAACTCCGCGTACCTGTTTGGTGGTCTCATTCGGAAGGGACGATGAACGCTATGGAACACACCTGGAAAAAGCTTACACAATACAGTCGAAACAAGAGAGACAAGAGAGTTTGAATCGAGAGCAAACCCACTCACACTCGAAACAGTGTGTTGCTTGGATCGAGAGTGGAGCAGCCACTGTTTCTCTAGGCCGCTGCACAGTTCTCTCCCAGGCAGCGGTCGATCTAGCACAACTTTTGAGCTGAAATGGCAGTAAGTTACCAGGCCAACCTTCGATGTGTGCCAAGGGAACAAAGACACAAGAACGGCGAGAGCAAAAGAATAAAACAACAAAAGGAAAAGATGGAAGAAGAAAAAAAAGATCTTACTACAAAATTGCTCCACAGATTTTCAGTCCTCCTTGACGGTGATCTGGGACTTTATTCTGGCCATCAATTTTGGGATCCCGGCGATGTGTCCTTTGACAGCTCTCTCGACGCAGTCTTTTGCATTCCTGGCGAGTTCATCTTCCGTGAGAGCCGCAATGTCTCGCTGCTCGTCAAATTTGTCCCTGCAAACCAGTACACTTCGCTGGATCCGTTCCTGCACAGGAGAAGCAAACAAAAGTGTGAGAGACTAGTGGGAAAAGAAAACTTTCGAGAACGCGAACAAATCCAAAAGTGTGAAAGAACCAACGATGTAAATGAGGCACATCTAGCCTCACCAAAAAAAAAATTCGAATGGCTTTTGCAATCGTTGTATGCCTGGAATGAGACGCAAGCACAAGGAGAACTCTTGCGAACGCCAATAACAGGCAAAAAGATAAAGGAATCCCCAAAGAAAAACCAAAGAGAACAAAAAAAAAAGACAAAAGAAAACCCATACCTGGAAGCTCGAGAGCTCGTTGGAGATTATGTTCTGCGCTCTCTGCGGGGGAGCGCCGCATTGCTGCACGCACGGCTCAATCCGGGACACCGTCGTGTGCTCGTCGAAGCAGCGGTAGGCACATTTGTAGAAATTTCTCTGCGAATATAGAAGAAAACGAGGATCAAATCGTAGAAATCCGGCAAGCCGCACCTGGAGCGTGAAGAAGACGTACTCATTCACCTCGCCCATCGCCTCCGTGAGCGCGTCATTGAGATCCCGCTGGAGGGTCTCCATGGCCTCCATCGCGGCTGGACCTAAACCCTAAACCCTAACTGGATTCTTTTTAACAACCCTAAACCTTCTTCAAGAAATGTTTAACGCGTCTCTACAGTGGAATGTAATCTTGTGTTAACATTCTTCTCCTAGCATATGCCAGGTGCAGGCAAATACTCACAGCTCAAGAGCTTTTCTATATGATGCCCTACAAAAGTCTCGTTTCTTGGAAACACCATGATAAGAGAAAACTGGTGGAATGCCTGCTCGCAAACATATGTCGCATAGAGGCCTTGGAGGATTTGTTCTCTAAGTTAGCGACTCCGTGCCCTGCAACACAGTCCTAGCCGCTCTAGAGTCTCTTTTTGAAGATCTGTCCACCCAGAGATATGGAGCATGGCGGCGTGAACACGATGGCGAGCAGCTATGGCAACTCCGGTGACACTAGTGACTATCTTCCGCAAGATACTGCAGTGGAGCATCCTGTTGTGGACATCGCTGCTGCTTGCAAAAGTGAGAGACACCGCCGCTGCCTGTGAGATCTTCCTCAACAATGCCCGGGAAGTGTCCCGAGAAGTGGAACACAATGCTAGAGCTTTGAGAGCTTGGATCTCCTCCTGGGATCACCCTCACTGCCGCCGCCACGATCTCCAGCCGGCCACATTGATCACGCCAGGGTGTTCTTTGATGCGCTCTTCTACGAGATGCTACTCAAGGACGTGGCCGCCGACGCATGCTTGCGGCACTGAGCCATGGCGGTGATACGCGTGCTGTATGCTGCAGCTTGACGTCGATTGCGGGCGGCTATTTTGCCGGGGCAATCAACTCCCCAGCTGCATGATCAACATCCTGGCACGGTGAAGCAACACCCAGGAGCTGCTTCCTGGGCGATGCTGCGGCCAAGGTTAAGGGCTGAAAGAGGTAGCGGGGGATTTTCTGGAGACAACAAGTGGTGCATACAGCCTATGTTATGATGGATGTGCATAGTTTAGGAGAGAATTCAGCTAAAAGCCTAATTAGTTGAGCCTAATTCAACTCAAAGCTTTCTTGTATTTAAGCTTTGTAATTTGAATTTTTGAGGTTAGGCTGAGCCTCACCTAAGTGTTTCAACAATGTTGGAGGTTTGTTGTGCAAATTGAATCTTAAGAGATGGAAAGTCTTGTTGATGTGAGGGAAATTCCCTTGTTATACAAGAGTGGCATTGCCTTTGTGGGCAGCAAGACTTGGGCTGTGGAATTGGCACAATTTAGCAAACTGTGATCTTTGGTTTTCAAGCAGTAAGCAGGTCACTATCTCTGGCTATGTAAATGTTGGACCACATTGCCCATGGTAGAACATCATCAACCTGAACGGGTATGAAATGGACGACACAAAAGAGCAAGAAAGTAACCTTGTATACCGCAGCTTGGGAATGCCTGGACTGACCCTGCTCATGACATGCGATGCGATGTTGAGTTTTACTACTCATTCCAGAGCAGACTTACAACGGGCTGATCCAATCCACCATGCGTCCAATCCTGTGTCACCCGTTGATTCTCATGGCTTTTTGTACTTTTGGTAGAAATCCGTCTTCGGTGTAAAAGAAAGATCAAGTGTGGCATCTAAAAAAGCTATTCCATGCAGTAGAAGGAATCCACCACACTAACCTGCAGTGCATTGGGCGTCATTGATGAAGGAGACTGCATTGGATGAGATTTTTAATGCGTTCAGCTTGGTAACATAGCAAACATCACACCATATATATATAAAGAGAATAGAGGACACCAGTGCTTATTTAGATATTACTCGCAACTTTCATGCTGGAGGTGTCTAGCACATTAGATGGAATATTTAGTTGCATCTCCCATAGCCGCGCTGGCAGCCCGCGCCACAGTACTCAGATGTCGATCCGCAGTAGCCAAACCGGCTGCAGCACAGGCCCGAGTTGCAGCGGCCTCCTCTACCCTGACGACCGCAACAGATACCGCCGCCTGTACCACATTGAGCTTCCACCACATTGGCGTGCTCCACCATTGCAACAACGAGCATGCACAAGAAGAAAGCAGCGAAAGCACGAAGGGACGCCATTGCAAACAGTAGCACTTTAACTATGGATAGAGCTGAGCAGTGTTTGATTGAATGGAGAGGCGGGGCGCATTTATATAGCGGGGGGGTTGCAAGCAAAGTCCATCACAACTTTTGAAAACCTAGAGCGCAGTTTTGTTCGCATCGCAATTACATATTTTGCTAAAAGACTTTAGCTCCATGATCTACCAGTTTCTGGAAAGACTTTAGCTTCATGATCTACCAGTCTCTCGATTTCGCCCATAGATTGAATTTTGGAGGAAGGTGACACAGTGTACACGACCATGACACATTTGCATTTGAAGTGTGACACAAGACCTTATCGCTTGACCATTGAGCGAAGTTTCGTAAGAAGCATGCGGGTTGAATCCTGTGAAGGTAGGATGTTTCAGAAACCAACTGCTTTCAGTGACGAAGACCGGTGGGTTCCTTCTTTAATGTAGTCGAGAATCTTATAAAATCCCGGACATGGCACAATATTCAGCCAGCTATCTTCAAAAGACTGCATTTAAATAAAGCATCATTAGACAGGCGAGGCAGTCTTCTGTGCAATGGAAATGCAGCTCGCTTGTAAGTTTGTGGTTTGTTGGTTTATACTATGCATTGTATGAGCTTGGGGAGAAACCAAAATAGGTTATGATTTCCTTAGCATTGCTCAAGCACGATCTGCTGCGTGGAAGCAAAATCTCAGGCAGCAGTAACACATACTCGGGCAGCTAAAGCAGCACAAGCCCACACACCAGCTGCAGAATCAGTTAACTCTGAGACAGAAGTGGTGTTGAGATGATAGAATGGAGTAGCAACCCACAAGAGTGAATGCATTGATGAAGAAAATCACTATTGCCCGGTTCAGTTAAGATTGCTAAAAAGCTTGAGCTGATCTAGACGTGTATCAGACCCAAAGCTTTGCACAACAAACCCATTGATGTAGTTTTTCAAAATTTAACTATATGAAGCACTCAGTTAGATAAATAGGATTTCCAATATAAGAAAATTATATATCTGTTCAAAATAGTTTGTTAATGTATATAGTTTAAGTATTAGTGTTATAAATACTTTTTACTCTAGTGTCTTCTATAGTTTTTAATAAAGATGTTACTTTGTAGTTTTTCATATGGTAGAATGTTTAGGATTTTATATATTTTTGAAATATATATATATATATATATATATGTCTGTGTGTGCATATGTGTGTGTGTGTTTGAGATATGGTTAATTATAAAATTCAAAATACATTTTTCATTGAGTTTAGAAAAATATTCATATAATTTTTCATATATTTTTATGCATTTATGATTTAATTTAACTGTATAATTTTTATATGTTTCCATATATCTTATCAGATTTGTAAACCTTATGAATAGTTAATGTACTTTCATTCTAAGAATTCATCATTTGTACTTCTGAAACATCACAAAGTGCCTAACCTTTAAAATATGTCCAACAATATACTTTAAAACTTCTTTTGTTTTAGTTCTTCTTCAATTAAATAACTAGTAAAACTTGTCATCCATTTGAAAAACCCTTTGATATTCTAAAAGGTAATCTTATTTTTAATGAGTAGCTCTATAATGTCTTTTAGAAAATTTATATTCAACTTTTTAATTTTAATTTGCTACATAGAAACCAGAACAATTATATACATTACTATAACTCAAATGGAAATTAAAATACTCACCTCATCTTTTGTAGAGTGTCTAGATTTATTTAGTGGAATTTCTAAAGTTATCATCTCTTATTTTTCATTCTACTATAATAAAAAAAAACACAAAATGTATTCAAATGGGTTAAAAAATGTTTGTTCATTTTATTCTCTATTACAAAGGTAGATTGTTGTGGTTTCTACATAACACTAGCTTTGGTGTTAACATCATTGCTTTATTCATATGAATTTATAGAGAAACTATATAGTAAAATATATTTAAAACTAGATGATAATTTACCTTGGAATTAATTGCAATAGCCTTTAGTTTATCTGACTATAAAATAATTTCTATTTAGGGTATTATAGTGGCTTCATTGTCTTTTACATAATATAAAAACCTTTAGTTTTAAACTAAATTGAAAACGTTATAATTATTTACATTCAATCTAGTAAAGAGGTATTTAGTTTCTTTGCCAAAACTATAATATGAATTTTAGTATGTGACATTACAGTTGTATTAATGTTTTTTATACATGGTGATAGATAGTGTTGAATTTCAGTTTGGCACGATATTGCATTCAAAAAAGTTCTCTACAATTTATTGGTGAATATATTATCTTATTCTAAGATAATTTCCTCTAGCATTTTCGGGATTTGAACCATTTGTTCAAAGAATAATTTCACCATGTGAGGGCCAAGTGTATGGCTACGATACCATATACTAATATTAGCGTAGTGGGATTTTGGTAGCCGTCAGATTGATTTCAATTTAGACCACTTGCTCCTGTATATAAGTGTAAGCAACCAAAGGGAACGACTTGAAAGACGATCCATGGGGTTTAAATATAGAGGGAAAGGGCCCATGAACAAGAATGCACCCTCTTTTCCAATCAGTTAAGGGTCTTGGGATATTTAGGGTTAAGTGTCTTTGGGTTTAAATAGTATTGGGTTGGGTGACCTCCAGAAAGTCTAAATTTATGAGCTTACAATAAGCTATGATTTTTGGGCTAATTGATATGCATTTTCTATATTCCCTTTCCATATTCCAAGCACTCACATTAGTGGAGGTGAGGGGCACTTTTGATTGTCCCTAAGGAGTGCTTGGAATATGGAATGGACCTCCATGGAATGGGTGGAGACTTTGGTGTCAGCAACTTCCCGTTGGTGTTGTTGTAGTGGATGGTTTAGACATCAAGATGCATCCGGGAAACAAAGAGTCGCACGAGTAATGGAGGGACCTTGTGCGAATAAGTCAATGACCCCTCTATCTTTCTTTTGGGATTATTATCAAGGGGTTCATTCGGCACTGGTTCATTCAATATTTACTTTCTAAGCTTGTTTTTATAAC